ATAATATTCACGAATACTAGATAATAATATAACTAGCTAAATTTAGTGTTGTTCACAAGTAATCGTAATTCTATAAACAGATTGTGATTATAATATAATATTCCAAATTAATATGCGACAACATACACTGACGTTATATTTTATTAACACTGATTAACTATAAACAAGTTCATAAAAAAAAGAACGTATCCGTTATAATGGTTGTTATAATGTCGTATACAATTCTGATGTGGTTACAAAGACATTTTAGGCATGTTAAATCATTGTTGAGTGACAAAGTTCGATTTTTGTATTATTATAATATTATGCGTTTGATAATCGTTTGTTTTTTGATTAGTCTAAAGCCTGAATAATATCCGTGGATTTATATTAAGTCAGTTATTCTACATAAATTGCACCTATATACATTGTATTGTATCTAACAATTATTACCTACTATAGTAAACATTATATTTTAATATTTTTACGCATGCATGCAATAAATACAAAATAATAACTACGCTCAAGCTGAGATTTCTGGAAATCACCGATTTAAAAATATAATACATTGATATAAAGGGTACTTCTATGTACAAGATTTCTGTTCAAACTTAGACATTTCTTAGGTAATCGGTGGCTGGCAGCTATCGTGTGAATAATGACACAGCAGTCTGCACTGAAATAAATTGTTTAATAGGCTTATAAAGTTATAACTATTTTCTAGCATGCCCGCCACTTCCGTTATCCACTGACAGACTTCAACGATTTCGGTCCATGAATTAAAAAAATAAATATTACCGACTAGTTGGCGAGGTTAGATAATAATACTATGTTTATTGTTTATATCACAATATATACAAATAATAATGGATTGTAAGGATTTCGGCAGTACGGTCGTACGGTAAAGAAAATTATAGTATAACTATAATATTTTATAGGTAGGTATCAATATTGAGCCAATTATATGTGCATGCACTTAATACGTATATATAATGTTAACCCAGCCTTTGAACCACACATGTTATCTCAATTATAATGTCTAACGTTAAATAATATTATTATTTAAAAAAACAAATTGATTGTACCTGTGTAAAATAGACAATGTAATTCAGTTTCTTAGTTGTTACTGTTACTTATTTTAAAATATCATATATGCATATACATTTCAGGTTGTTATACTCAAACAAAAACAACGTCTATATAATGCCAGGCTAGTAACATTTTACTGTTTTAAGTACTTAATACTATATAATTCTTTATTTTCATGCATGATATGGATCACGGCCTTAGAAGATAAGGTTATATAGGCACACCGCCTGGCTTATCACTGCAGTTGCATGCGTCCGCACAAAATGTATTAGTACTGTTGTTGTTAGTGCAACCATGCATTGCAGTCAAACTTTCAGTATTATATTTCAATAAATCGATGTAGGTACCTATGTTTTTCATATAGTTCCTACTCGTCTTGTTGTGTACAAAACCATTTAAATTTCAAACGTGTAATCGAAAACAATTATTAGCTATTAGCTATGTGAAATCAAAGTTCAAACTAAAATTGGTTGTACACTATTGTACCTAAATAACAGTTTCAATACACGCGGCCGTTTGATTTGTGTCGCTAACTTGGTATATGACATGCACAAACAACGATCTAAACTCAAATGGGAAATTCACTCTCTATACCTACCGTCACAACCGAATCACATGTGACATCATGTTCAATAAAAAGATAAGGTGATGTTAATACCATCCCCGTAGACCTTATAAATTCTAAGCCCGTGATAAAAATATTATATTAATATCAAATTAGGTAACAGATATATAAATACGTTTTATTTAATTACCTTAAAATGTGTCAAATGTTCTATGCAGAATGCAATTGGTATTTTACCATTTTTCGTCGTCGACTGATAGCAATAGACATTTAGTTATTTTATTCCAACTTCAAGGTTTTACAGGGAAATGTGACATACCCATTGTATAGAATACTCCACGCGCATAACTTAGGTAGGAATTTTTATTCATACAACTATACACTTACCTGAAACAAAAAATATTAATTATAATAATTAAAATGGTAAATATTATATTATTCATTATAAAGTAATTTCCCATTGCAAGAATAAAATCAATTGTAAAAGCAGTAAATTAATTTTCAAACAGCCTGATAAGTCGGATAAGCAGGCCGACATCGGACTTTGGCGTTGTTTTGATTAAAACGCAATCTACAGGAATTGGAGAAGAAACTTTTAAAAGCTCTGTTATCTATCCACTGTACACTTATCGTAGCTTCCATTCAGTTCGTATCGACATAGTTTTTGCAATACATACATATATATATATATATTATTTTGCTATATACATATTATAATATATAAATAAGTATATATGTTTCGCTTATTATTATATATTTTATAATAATAATATAGGTATAGTACTATAGTATAGGTACCTATATTAATATATACAGTATTAGCACTTGATATTTTGTAAGACATTGTTGGTCATGTATTTTTATAACAATAAAAGTAACATCATCGAAACCCGTTTGTTTAACGAAATCACAGTATATATTTGGAGATAAATAAAAAAATGCTATATTTTATAACAACAGCCATGTATAGTCAACAAACAATTTTTGGTACTACTTATAAAGCAACTTGGCTTGTATACATTATAATATGATTACTATTGAGTCACTTAAATTGAATAAAACAATCTCTCTTTCTTCTTTCAGTATTTATTATTCAATATTAAAGTTTATATAGGTCGTACAACATATTATATTAAGTACGCTTAATTACGATTAATCCGCTCAATATCAAGTGTCACGAATTCATATGTATATACATAAACATATAACTACATCACAATAACTACACAATACAAACAATTAAAAGTAATTTTAAAATACGATTAAATACACATGCCGAATTATAATCTGTAGGTTTATTATTTTTCCAACTCACGAATTAAAATATTTTTAACTAACAGTGTTTTGAAATTACGAGTGCAAATGTAAGTGGCAATAAATGACAAAAAGGTAGTTAAAATAATTAAAACCCTATGATACACAAAATGTATAGTACGATCGTTCGACAAGAAACATCTAAAAGGAAAATTATTCGACGGCGTGTATTATAAAATTATATAATATATATATTAACGAGAATGTATAGTTACAATTTATTTTTCTACGTTAAATGAATAAATGAATAAATGTTTGATGATGAGTTTTCGAACGAGTTGCCTAAAATTTCATAACCCACTATCGCTTAGTAAATGTAAATTACAAAATTGTTTTTTTTTTAATTATTGAATTCCAGTATTAGGTAGAACATGTAATTTCAAGAACATCATATTATATAATCTTAGAAAATAAAACAATATCTCTTATCAGTTACAGTTCAGTAGAAAAAATGTATACATATACACTAAACTCAGTGTCAAGTACAAAAAGCGTCATCTATTAGTCATTGCAAAACTTCAAGGACAACTGCTCTTCGATAAATCGATTTCACATTAGCGATAGCAAATCAAACAAACCGGTCGAATTGAATAAGACGACGACGGACGTTAATTTTTTTTTTATCACAATTTTTTACATTATCGTCGTAATCGTATAATTTAACTAGGAATTATTGATAGAGTTATTAACTTATATTATTAACTTATTTACTTATGGAACCAATTTAACTCGAAACAAAGTATGCGCATATCATTTTATGTTAAGTTAGGTATTATATAATTGGCAACTTAAAGAGAAGAAAGTAGATTGATTGGGCGCTTATTCATATAGCTGTCAGAAAATAATATAGTAAACGTTATCTGAACGATGATCTCGAATTAGTGTTGATTTTTACCATGATATGAGAGTTGAAAGATCACAGTTTTATTTTTGGTTGAGTAACATTTTTTTTCTTTATATACACCTACTTAGATTACGAGCGAGAAGTCATAACGTGAAACGCATAATGTCCATTAATATGATATTATAATATATCGGTATATTTTTTTTATCAATTCATTATGTATATATATACATAATATATACCCACATAATATATACATAAGTACCTGTATCAGTGACATATAGCTATTTTATTAATGATCAATTTATTCGCTATAAATCTATAACGATATGCTAAATATAATTACTTGATTTAAAGTTATTTTTGGTTATCACACTATATCAGCAGTGGGTTTGTTTATAAAATGTTTATTCGTTTTTTTTTAGTATAGGTCGTCAACTTGCAGAAAAAAAAACCTTACCTAATTAATAATAATTATAAACTCAATACGCAAACGAACACGCGGCTGATTAGATACTAAATATACCTCTACACATCGTAGCCGCAATTACATAAATAACATTATTTTAATGTTCTAACATAGATATACATTTGAAATACGAGTCTTTAAAAAAATTTTAGACCAATAATAATAATATGAGCATCGACAATAATCGATTATATTATATACGGTCATACAAGTGCATTGTGCATATTATATATCATTTCAAGAGAAACGATCCACGATATCCCCAACGATATTGACAGCATAATCTTTATATATTATTAAAACGTGAGGCGATTTCTTGTGACAGTTATATCTGAAGTTCTACCGGGCCGATTTTCACAATTTTTTTTTTAAACGAAAGTACTCGGTATGTAGATGAGCCATCAAAAGAGAAAATTCCAAAAAAATAATTATTTAAATAGATATTAGAAAATAGAAGCATAAAGTTTGCCGTATTGTTACATAGCGATGCGCGTTGCTTGCCGTGCACACACACACACATCTTTAGAACCCCCCCTACTCCTACGTCTGCTGCAGAACTGTCGTAGTGTCGTCGTCGCGCGTCGGCAGCGATGTATTATTTCATATTTGGCATTAACGCATTGTGCACTGTTACTGTTGTGTTATCGTCGTAGTGTCGTCGTCTGAATCGTCGTCGAAAAACCCAAACAAAAATATTACTATTATTTAATTATTATTTTATTTTATTGTTATTATTTAAAATGGAATATCAATTAATTCCAATACCAGGCGATGGAAATTGTTTATTTCGTTCCGTGTCACATTTAATATTCGGCACGCAAGAAGAACATCGAAGTATTCGATTAAGAGTGGTTAACTTGGTGGTAAATAATTGGGATGTGTACAAAGAATTTGTCATTGGTGATCTTTCGTATAGACTACCTATTTATAATTCTAATGATTACGAACAGTTGATGAGCCTAAATGGCGAGTATGCTGGTCACGTCGAACTTGAATGCATTAGTCGACTTTATTCAAATCATACATTTCGTGTGTATAGATCTAATGATCTTAATGAATTTGTAGATTATGGTTCTGGTGTTACAATGTGTAATTAATTTTTTTCTGGCAATGGTGACGCAGGACATTATAGTGTTTTAGTTTTTAGTAATAATATGAATATTCAAAATTAATTTATCCTACCTAAAGAAATAACTGCAAACACTAATAATAAGCGTAAAACACATTCTTTAACTGGTAGACGAGAAAGAAAAAAACATAAAGAAACCCGGAATCACAGTGTATTATTGTTTAAATTATTTTATAAATGCGCTTTATCACATAATATAGTTCACGTTACTCCCTATAATTTGGGTGATTTAACATTTAAATGCGAGCATTGTCATTCGTTGCACTTTGAGTGTGAAAAAACGACAAGAGGGCATTTCAGTTTATGTTGTGGTAATGGCAAAATATCTTTACCGGAGAGCCGTTTGCCTAATGAAATATTTGATTTGTTTGTTGGTGAAAATGATGAGTCCAAACATTTTAGAGAACATATACGTCAATATAACAGTGCGATGTCATTTGTCTCTTTTGGTTCTCACATAACATTACCATCGGGGTATGGGCCTTATTGTTTTAAAATACATGGTGATATATATCATCGTATTAGTTCCCTTTATCCTAGCTCAGGCCAAAATCCATCGTATGGTCAATTATATATTTTAGACTTTGCTGAAGCAAACAAAGTTAGATTAAACAAATCACAAAATATATTACTTAAAAGTTATATACTTGATAAATTACACAATGTATTATCTAACATAAATCCATATGCTAAATCGTACAAACAAATGCATGAACTAACGGTTCATGGTGGGAGTTCAACTACTATTAATATGATTATGCGATTTTATCATGAACCTAGAGAAGATATCCGTAGGTACAACGACCCAACAGTTTCTAAAATCGCAGCAGTATTTGAATCTTCAGATGGCGCACCTCCTTCACATAGACAAATATCAGTTTACCCAAAAAAAGGAGATATACAAAGAATTGATTACGACAGCATGCACTGTGACCCTATGACTTACGTTTTAATATGGCCGTACGGAGAACCAGGCTGGTATATAAATATGCAATATAATGGTAAACGTAAAACTGCCAAAAGATGCAACATTTCCATGCGTGAATATGTATGTTTTCGAATGGCAATAAAAGGTATACATAAAAGTATGATACATCTTTATATTTATTTATAATATACAATTATTCAAAGATATGTTTTTTCCCACCGTACCCCGGCAGCGACGGGTAATTCAGCTAGTATTATATTATATTATATCACGTGTAGGACTGCGGTGCTATCGCCATGCTGCATTTTAATATTATTATTGTATGTTTTAGCCAACGTTATGGCGCTATGACGTAGGTACATAATATTATAATATAGTTGTTGCAATTTTGCAAACAGTGTGACTACCTACCCCCGAGGTATCGCGACCATTATAAGCGACGAGCCATTTTGTTTCCGACGACAATATTCGATTCGTGATTTCTGAGCGAAACAACGATGACACAGTGAGAATTTTTTATGTGACGGTTCCAATAACAAATGAATCGATATGGCAATACGTTATTGGGCAGATGACTTGTGTGTGCGGTGTACACACATTTTTAAAATTATTTTGTTACTCAACAGTTCCGCGTATTTATTATGCTGCTGTTCAATTACAATAATATTATGTTCTGCAGCAGTCAGCACTCACCACATAGTATTTTGAATTCATTTATGTAATTGTATTTTTATTATTATATTATTTTTGTATATATTTTTCCTTTATTTTAGTCAATGATAAGATATAGGTATGAAAAAAATGACTGGTGCGTAGTATAATATGTGATAAATGAACCTCGCTAGGTTTGATCGCAGTAATACATTATATACCTTTTATATTATATTATTATAAAACGAAGAATATAATATAATGTACATGTTTTATAATGGATCAATAATAAACCATACCCTCTAAATATAATAAGTATAAATAAAAATGAATGAACAAATTGTTTACACTTATTTTACACTGCAGTATACAATATAATAATAATAATAATAATAATATGCTGAGATTATCAGATAAAGGCGTGTCTCGTGTTATTTGTGACGAACATCTTATAATTTCCTGTGCTACGGACATATGCGCATTTATATTAAATTGGTGTTCTTTATATTTCCGAAAAATCTCCGATAAGAAATCTGAAATTTACCATGTCAATTGCCAAGGATTTTGTTATAAAAATATATACGATTCAATTTTGATATCATGTATATTTTATCAGTGACCGACTTCGTTTGTGACTTTATATAATATAATATTACTAGTTCTATGATTATTAGGTTATATATAATAATATATAAATTAGATTTATTACAATAAAACGACGGTTTCATTCGAATGCCCCCTCCCCGCGCCACAAACAGGTATGTATGGTCGCTGCGGGTATTAAAAAATAAATGACGTTCCGCGGTTACGACATTTTCACGATGCTTCAATTTTTCGTTAAAAATCATTCCCGGACAGTCGTCGCGTTATCGACCTACCATAGGTAGTAAATCTAACAGATTCGAATCGCCTGCTCGTATCATAGACGTATACTACGCTTGTAATAATATGGTCTCTATAGTACCCACATAACATTATATCGTGTGTCAACTACCGACGGGAATTCGTAAATTTATTTTTTTTATTCGATGACGTAGGTATATGACCTAAGCGAGGCGCGAGCTTCGCGATAAACCGACATCGCGATACACGACGACGTCGTCTCTTATATTATATTATATAAAGTCATTCCGAACGCAATCAATAGACGTTTCACATGCATAATAATATAATAATGCGAGGTAGGTATAATATAATATTATGTACTTTGCAAAAGTCAAATTTTCAATTAGTTTTTTCGCATAACGTTCTCGCGCGAGCCCGCCCGGCGGTGCACATCGCTGTACTTACATATTATTATTATTATTTATTATTATACACAGGTACAGACATATTATACAGCATACACCTATAATATATATATACAGCACATGCAGTTGTTGGAAAACCGTTATTTTTTTTCCCACAGTGTATATATGATATATTTTGTCGATAAGATCTCGCGCAGAAAACGACTCTCGGAGAAATCGATTTTTCCCCCCCGATTGCCCACGGGTCGAGAAGACCGCATCCGCCGTACGTGTCGTACTATACTGCGTCACTGCTGCCGCCGCAGTTGCCACTGCTGCAGCAGGCGAGGACCGAAAACCACTTAACCGGATTAGCTATATTATTATTATTATAAAACATACGTATATTCCCGTTGGCCGGGTGTTCCGAAACCCAACAGCAACGCACGATGAGGACACACGGACGTCGTGTGTGCATTATCGTTATCAGTAATGTGGTTTTTTCCTATCGACCTTGGATGAAATATAAAAAATAAAAAATGTATTTTTTAAGAACACACACACGACGACGCACACTCACTCCTGAGAGCTGTTGGTTATTAATATTGAATACGGTTCACGGAGATAACAATACTGGATTGATCAGCGCGTGTGATCGTCACGGTTTTCGTCGCGTCTGCTGCGCGGGCCATCGCTCGCGCTGCCCGGCGATTCGTGCCCGTTTATATCTTCTACGGTCGTGGCTTATTCGACGGTGGCACAACAGCGGCGTTGCGAACTACTGTGACTTTCGAAGGTTTTTTTTATTACAGTTTAAAGACACGCGTTATTCAATGTTTAACATAATTAGTATTATTCGTCAGTGAAAACAGTAAAATCTAGATGTATTATAGATTCATAATAAACGAGGCAATCGTCCTCTCTCTTATATTTGAGGCTCCGCTGTAGAAAAACTGCCCTCACTGCGCCGCTTATGTCACACGCGTGTCATTTGTATAATAATATTAAATATTAGACAGGCCAGTGCGGAGGCAGCTAAAATAATATTATTATGTACTCTGATCTCCATGAATCATTTCCACTCTCTCGCAGTCTCGCCGCTTCCCTCTCGCCGCCGACCGACCACGGATGGACCGAAGATTCGATATTAATCCGTCCGTCCATGTGTAGGTACCTACGTCGTATTATCAGTTCGTATCCCTTTCTCTCGAAAAATAACAATAATACCACCACCGCAGACACGACTACGACGACGATGACGACGCGCGACGATAACGATCGCGGTTGCAGCATGAGAGGAGATCGCTCGCTCTTTACGCGCCACGGCGGCAACCGATTAAATCTATCATGGTAACCGAGGGGCGCTTTTTCAAACCCCCGTCCGCCCGCCGTCATCGGTTCGAATTATAACAAACTTACAAACGCCGCGCACACGTTACGTATAATAATAATATAATAACAATATTATACAGCGTGACGGCGGTGGGCCAGCCGCAGCTGGTTACCGCGGCGGCGGTAACACGTACCATGTACCTAGGTAGTAGGTACATAATATTATTATGGACACAGTGTCGGTGGGCGCGCCACATCGCGATTCAGGGCACACGAGCCCCGGCCGGCTGTATTATTATACACGTCGTCGTTGTCCCGAAACGCAATAAATACAAAACAATTTGCCGCGCGCACCACCCTGTATACGCATCACGTCAATCTACCCTCTCTCGGCAGAGCTATATATCGCTGCACCCGTATAGTACACACAGTACGCACGCCCACACATACACACACATGTGCTATATCTCTGCGTACTTAAATCCCTACCCGCCACCGCCGCCACCATATTATACTTGACGCTCGCTCGGTCGTGTGTGTGAGTGTGTGTATATAATTCCACGGCGTTATCTGCACGCCGTCCATCGTTATCAGCGCGCCCGGTAGAAACGACCGTCTAAAAACCTTTTGCCGACACACACACACACACACACACACACACACACAGGCCAACGCCGCGTTATCTCTCCCGACACACATGCACCGAGTGTACGTATAGTAGTACATAAAATATATACGGTGTGGGTGTGTGTGTGTGTGCATACAGCGTGTGCGCGTTCCTTATCAGTATCATGCCGGTAGGGTCTATCCGTCTAACCGTGACCGGTTGTACTATATACAACAACAAGCGGGCACACGCACACACACACACACACACACACACACAAAGATATACACACGAACACACACAAAGATACACACACACCGGACACCAGTCGTCGAGCGGAGATAGGAATATGTATAATGTGGTGCTGTGGTATATGGTTGTGAGGCGCGGGGCGGGCGCGGGAGAGTGCGCGCAAGGGGGCCGCCGAGAAAGATAACCGGGTACTTATCATTATACGCGCGGCCGGGGCGTAAAAACAATGCGCCGTATAATTTTTTTCTCCACATACCCCCACACACCCACCCACCGTCAACGATAGACGATAACGATCCCCAGTATCTCCGGACCTCGATAACATTAATGATAATAATAATAATGTATAATATTATGTACAAATATACAAATATAATATTTAATTTTATTATATGCACAACACAACGACTTTAAATTGTGTAGACAGCACAAAAACGATAACAATATTACATGGACAATATTTAATATTTATATTTTTAATATTTTATGGACAGTTTAGATTTTTACCACGAAAATATTTTCGCCCCGATACGTGGGTATGAACAAAAAATCGTGTTAAAACAGTCACCAGCTATATAATGTGCACGACATTACTTACTTAATTATAGCTGTAGGAATAGCCACCTATATTTTGTGGATAATTAATAACTAAAAAACGTTATAATATGCTAATATATAGCTAGATGCGTTGTATATTTTTTTTTAGCTATGACAATATTATTACAACAGTATATAATAATATTTTGTGAACTAGAACAATACACTTATTTTATTGTCGTTGCATTTTAAAACATCACAACGACTTTATCGTTTATAATGTTATATTAATCTGCGAATAAGCATATTAAAATAAATAAAAATATTAGATTTAATTATGAATTAAATTATTTATTATATAGAACACGATAATAATAAATAATTTTATAAGCCTTACATTTGCATACCTAAATTGTATATGATTGTTAACGATTATCTGAATTTAATGAATTGAATTATTAAATCATCTACATAAAACACATTACATCGAGTTTTATATTTATCGTAACAACAATTAATGGATAATGACTAGTTAAACATTTCAATTTCAAAATGAGTTAAGAAGTTTAACACTTTAATAACTATAATATAAAATCCCATTACGTATCTAGATAATTGTATTTCATTTTTATCA